CCACAGTTGAGTCTGTCGAGACGAGGCGAGACCATCATCGCGGCTACAACAGCCAAATACGTCGTGTCCCTCAACCATTCCGGGATACCGCGCGTGACGCAAGATGTCACAAGAGCCAGCCAGCCAGCCAGCCAGGCGCACCTGCATGTTCTTCAGTGCCGTCTGCACGGGGGCCCCCACGGGACTCCCCGGCGGCGCCAGCATCGCCGGCGTGAGGCTCATGGGAAGAGAGTACGACGCCGAGGCACCTGAGAGCGTTTGGTTGGGTATCAGAATCAACGTCAGCAAAACACCATGTGGTCTGGAAAACTCATTCTGGGTGTGTCGCCACGTGGATGCTTTTTTTTCCATCACCGGGGAAAAGGGCACATTTGTAAAATGACTGGGAGGCCAACGTTGGTGAAGGTCACCCCTTTCCCTCTGTCCAGATGTCGAACTTTCAACAGAAAACAGCAGCCGCAAAAAACAACAGCCCAGAAACCAAATTGGAAGTGCCAACATCGGTAAACTTGTTGCGGTTGCTGACAGACCGCACGCTACCGAGACATCTCATGTCTCGAACTCGGTACACCAGGAGGCAGCCATCAAAACAAGGGGCAGGGGGTGTGCTTGCTACCCGGCTATTATTGTACCGGAATCAACACCACACGGGGGTACGGCAGAAACAGCTTCTAGTCCGCGGTCTCCAAGGCGGAATCAAACAAACCAAAAACAGCTGAACAACGGCCTCTCCCAACGCCACACCCACCGTCTCGTGTTCGCGATTTCCCACCATCAGGCGGGACTACTCTCAAGGTGCCATATCTAGAACACATTTCCGACCATTCATTCTCTTCCCACCAGCGAACAATGGGTCCAACGCTAATTTGTCCTCGACTCTGAACTGAGGATAGAGATGGATTCGCTGTGATATACCGTAAATGACACAAGATAGCACATCCCCTGGACCGATTTTAAAAATCTCGATTTCTCAACAGCAGAAAGAGCCACAGCGCCGAAAACGATGGCATTGAAGCTGCCTCGTCGAGAGCTTTCCGAAAATGTATTGTCTCATTTATGCGTCCTCTTCGTCGTGGCGTAATCGAGCTTTGAAAATTGGTCCAGGGGGTGTGTTGTCTTGTGTCATATACGGTACTAAGAACAAAAAGAGGCACGCATGCCTGGTCCATTGTCATCGAACACCATCCGGCCATTCATTCACCCCGATACATACCTGGCGCGAGTGGCTGGTCGAAAGCGATCTGCTGCTGCGCGGGCACGATTCCGAAGGTGTTCTTGTTCAGCTGGACCGCCAGCTGCTGCGTCGGAGCAGCGTCGCGGTTGTTCACCTGTCATGCGATAAAAAAAAACGCCGGCAAGCGGAGATCAAGAAAGGACGAGCACACGGTTAAGGTCATCAGAATTGGAACATATGTATCGTGGAGAGCTACTAGCACCACCTTATCACCGAGCGACAACATGGATCCACGTGACAGAACGCAGCATTGCGTGGCAGGGCAGGAACGGCGTAACACCACGATTTGGGAAAAAAGAGGCAATTCGCGATTTCTCCGGAGAGGGGGTAAAAAACTCCCGCCCTTGAGCGCACGGCGCAGCGAAATACATGCGTTGACCGGTAGACACTTGTCTTCAATTCGGAACAAATCAGTGGAGCAAGAAGAAGATCCATCGAAACAGGAGACCACGTGCAAACCATGCACAACGACGCATCGCAGCCGCACTAGTGGAGTGGGGCGAGACACGTTAACAACAACAACAACAACAACAACAACAACAATAACAGATGCATCACGACTATTCAAACCATGACGACGTCTGGAGGGTAGGAAACTTACGTCCACGTCCAGGAAGAGCGCTCCGCCGCGGAGCACGAACGCCCCCAAAATCTCCAGCCCCCCGCCTTGGGCAGCGGGACACACGACCTGTGCAAGGCGAGGATCGGACAAAAAAGACAAGACAAGACAAATCATACAGACCAGAGCGGAAGGCGCAGAGTGAACGCCCGGACGGGTTGCTTGTGTAGCAGCTGCTGTTTGCGGACATGTCTAAGCTCTCATAAATTAGCCGGGCCCATTCTTCCAATCAAAGGAAGCTACTTGTATTGTATTGGGAGATCCAAGCAAAACGGTGACCAACCGGCGGCATGTGCGCATAACCCCTTCCGCCTGCAAAAACAGCAGCCTCCTTCATGCCATTGGCCCGTACGGAAACAAAAAGACACCGCCACGGCAAAACACACACGAAGCCAACACAATCACATCTCGCACGCAAACAACAACAGTAAGCCGCGTCTCATGCAATCCTCCTCCTTCTCCTCCTTCTCTTCCTTGAGGACGGGCAACCGATTGCAGCAGCTGACGCCCACGAGCGTGAACCCACGCCCGCCCGCCCGCTGGCCCCACCCGCCCACTTGTACTCACTGTCTTCTGCACGGGGGCAGCCGGGGGCGCAGCCGCCCCAGCGCCGCCTCCGAACAAGTCAACAATCCCTCCTCCCCCAGGTGCCGCTGGTACTGCCGCCGCCGCCGCCGCCGCCGCCGCCGGTGCGGGCGCATCGTTAACGGAGAGGTCATCCATGGACAAGAGGTCCACGGCCCCGCTGCCGTTGGAGGTGTCCGAGGGACCCGTTAGCCCGTCGGCGTTGTTGCTGTCGTACTCGTAGTCCTCGCCGTCCTCGTTGGCGTACTCCTGGGGGGGGGGGGGATGGGCGGGGGACACGACTCTTGTGTTTTGCATGCCTTAGCGGTTAGACCATTGACTACGCGTCCTCGAGAGGACCGAGCATTGTGTACCCACAGGACCGATCACCGATGGCCAATCGTTCCTTCCGATTTCGCCAAAGGTGTCTCGAAAATGTCGTTCCTAGCCTCTATCCTATCGGGAATGGAAGGGGGGGGGAGGGGGGGGTACTCATGTAAGCGCATGCTGCAGTCGTTAGAAAAATGACCTCACACATGTACCGGGACGGAGCGAGATGCCGGGTTTTCGCCGGCCCAGGCTACGGTTCACGAGGGGGGGATGGGGTGATATGATTGTCTTACGCATCACCATGCGTGGGAGAGGCGCACTTCTAGGCCATCGCGTCCCTCGGGAGAGGTAGGAGGAGCGCTCGACCTTCAACAAACACCAAAAAAGGCACGGAAGGACCGAGAAAGCCATACCGAGCACAAAGAACATACTATACACCGCGGTAAAAAAGGAGGACCCGATGATGCCATGCACGAGAACCTCGAGAGCTGAGCCGCAGCAGCGACGGAAGAACATCGAAACGACTCGCGAGGGGATCCGCTACAACCTGTGCTTTGTAGAAGCTTCACACGCACCCAGCACGGGATTGACCATCAAACTGCCGGCATGTCCGTCGAGCACTCAAGATCAAGCAAAGAGCAAACCCTGCACGATTCCCGAACAAACGCGCATGAGCGCTGAGGCACCCATGCCTCTTCTTTCGTCTCCACTCCCGCCCCCCGACACACACACGAAACACATGTATTTCTCGGTAAACAAAAGCATGCCCCCCCCCCCCCCCCCGAACCAGACAACCCACAATGTTGAAACGGTGCAGGGTTTTTTGACACCAGATAACTCTAGGCATCCCCAAAGCAAGAACAGCAAAAGGTGCAAAACTAATTGAGCGAAACGAAAGAGCAGCAAAATTGCACCCGCGTGCTGTGCCTCTCTCTCTCTCTCTCTCTCTCTCTCTCTCTCTCTCCCTCTCCCTATTTTTCTGCTCCTA